GTAAAACGTCACTAATTGTTGTCATTTGAAGGTGAAAACTTTCGATTTGAGAAGATTTCTGGTCTATTGGCAGGGAATCACCCACTGTTTAGTTTTCAAAAACAAAGAAACAGTAGAGGCATTGGTTCCTAACCACATGACTCTTGAAGCCGAGCATATCATTGTTGAAAAGATTAATGTTCAACAATTAACACAAGGAGAATGTCGACAAGAGTGTACGTGGAAAGATTCATTAACTCATTCGGATGGTATAGGTCAGTCCTGAGGGCGTGGCCATTTTTGTGCAAAATATTTCTTTTATACATATAAAATATGTTGTTCTATATTCAGTCTGAATGTGTCCTTTAGAAACACCAAACATTATGTTGCTGATTGTCTGACTGGTAAGAGTATACAATAATTTACCTTCCACGTAAGATCTCATAGATTAGGTAGTCACATCTTGACAAATCTATAATCTTAAGATTGTGACTATTATTACAGCAGTGCTAATAACAAACTAGACCATAATTCTACAGCAGTGTGTACAAAACACTTTCATTTAATTGGCGAACGATAATATACTGATTTCTTAGGGTTTAGTTGCAGGCCCGATAATTAGTTCAGATTATGCCTACTAATTAGAATGCCTTAATATCCACTGCAAACGGCTAGGTTTAGCGGACTACTGGCTACTGTTCACTCGGGTGCCCCATCTCATCCCTCCTTTGAGCAACAGAATTGTAACACGATTAAGGGAAGTTTGGGTCAGATGTGATTTTGTAAACTTATGGTCTACTATGATATTAGTACTGCTCTAATAATAGACCTAATCCTAAATTTGTAGATTCGTCATGATATAACTGCCTAATCTATAAGATCTTACGTGGAAGTCACACCATCGACTACACCAACTCACTGTATCGTATCAATTACCAATACATGATGTAGAACAAGGTTAGGCTAGAGAAAGAACAATACATTTAATATGAACAGAAGATATAAGGTAACATTCGGCAGAGACCACGCCTGCATGGCCGAGCCATGCCACTCGATCAACTCCAGTACATTCAACTCATTGTTCACGCCTTCTCCATTGTTAGGTATTTCTCCGTGTTAAATATTGAATATCTATTTTCTGAGTAGTCTTGTGTTCAGCTTTGAAGATTGTGTGGTTATGGTCCAATGCCACTACACTGCTCTCCCACCAGGATCAACGTGATGTTGGTTCGATACCAAATTGGATGGGATCGTCGCGCGCCGGAGGTTACCAAGGATAATAAGAATCCTCCGAGTATTGGTAAGCTGAAAGATAAATCAAAAAGAAGGCGGCAGCATCTGGTCGGGAAATACATGTAATGATTTTAAAATATCTGCCTTCATGCTTAAAACGCTTGAAATGAAAATTTGGGTGAAGATTATTTGAGCTATAAAAAATGGGATTACAATAACAATAATAATAATAATAAAACGATGCGTGTTAATAGCCGTTGGTTAATAACTTGACGTATAGGTAGTAAGTATTTTGTGTTTAGAAATATTAAAGTAATGAATATTGTAGAAATGTTAATATTGGTATTAGTTTTGGTTTAAATTATGAAACCAATTAACAATTATGCCGGTAACCCGTTCATATGTGATTTCCAATTGCATCTGTATTAGTAGGCTAACTGGAAGAACAAAAGTATTACCATGGAAAAGAATTCCAACTGGTGTTCCTGTTAGTTTGATACGGTTTATTTAGTTACGGGGAGATTTTCTGAACCTCATTTTTACTTGACTGTGATAGAATTTAGTAATACTACTAATACACATGAATGTTTATCAAAACAAAATTTAAACACGTGAGTGATAATTATATGAATTTTGGATAGATAGTTAGGAACAAATCGTTAAACATGAGTGTATTCGTAAGAGACATGCTCCAGACTCAATGTTTTGATCCGCGGCAGACTATTTATTTATATTTATACTTGCCGGCTGATTGGGCATACAAGGTAGTTGCAAGTATGCAGTTTATCATAAGGCGGAATACGACTTAATTGAGATATAGTGGTTATAAGTTATTGAAATCAGTTAAGCCTGTGTTATATTACTAAGCGATGTGGTGCTACAAGATGTATTTAGCTAAATACGTTTTTACAAGTTGATTAATAGTGAGTGATGCTCATGTGATTATCAGAGAGAACATAAGTTGTAACCAAGGGGAGTACACTCCCAACTCATGTCTATGATAATGGTTTGAAACTTAATCAGTGTTGAGGTAAATTCGATATTGATGTTTTCAGTTTGCAGGAGATTTGCTCGACTGCTTATGTTGATTATTTGCATGCATGATTGTGTCGCTAAACCTCCAATTAGACCGACAAGGTTTTGAGATATTTACTGAATAAGCAACTGATAGAGAAACATACTGTAATCATCTGTAGTGAATGAAGATAAAAGAAAAACAACACTAGTGATAATTATAAGTCAATTTGCTGACCGATTTTGTTAATAGTTTCATTAATTTTATCAATCATATTACGTGATTGTCAAGTCATGACAATGCTTTATGACGATATCCTGAAACTATTACGTTTAACTAGTTATAGCGTTGATTAAGGATTAGTCAGTGGAAAAATAGGTATTGTTGCTTTAGGTGATTCGAAATTATCAGAAAATTGTAATGTTAAAGAATCCGAGACGCCTAATTTAATTATAAATCTCAATTCAGAGAGATTCGTTTTGTGTTAATCCTAGTAGGCTACGGAGTCTTGATTTTAAATGTTTGTCTAGCCAACGGCTACCTGAGGATTTAGTTATTTTACTAGTGCAGTTGATAGTACCTAAATTTTTAATCTTATTGGGTCAGATGTGAGTTTACTAACGTCATAGTTTGTATGAAATGCCATTTTTGAACAGAGTGTAATATCTACGGGCTCATGGTATAGCTCTAAAATGTGAACCTATTTATTGACTTCCTGGTATATGGGCATGAATATCTTGTCATATCTTCAATGATTCTACCGATTTAGTAACCCTACCTGTGTACTATATTATCTGTAAAAAAAACCTGCTTTTATGGTTGTATACACCAACTTATTCATATATTATGCATGTAAATATAATATCCAGCCGAAAATAAAATGACTTACGTTAGATGTAACCATAAGTTTTATTAGATGTGAAATAATCCATTTAAACGTGCATAACCTAATAAGGTTGTACTGTGAGATCATTTCCGTATGTTTTTTGTTAACGTATGTGAAAATCCATCAATTCATGTGTAATAATATCTCATTGTCTTCTGTCACATATAAGGCTAATATTTTCGAGGCCTTTATTTCCAAATATTTACTGCACTTTTTGGTTCACACAAGACTAGGATCACTCATTTAGCATATAATCTAAGTTATTTGGTCCCTTCTTTGACATGGTACAGATTCTTGTTGGCTGGCCTAATTTCGTTTTGCTTAGTCACTGGTCTTCGTTGGATGACATATTGAGTGCCTATATTCGTGACTGCTACTCTTTGACTTGGTTGATCCTGGAGATTTTAAATCACGCACCACGCTTGTTGGAAATGTGTACAGCTGTCGGAAATTGTGATCGCTCATCTGAGCGAGCCGAATTATTCTAAGTACGGTGAACAGAGACACGTTCCTCCGTCCGCGAAGCCACTCTTCTTTTTTGCAAATAACCGGTTTCGTATTTCTTAACAACTGATTCCTCAAATACCCTGCAGTTTAATCGTGCGGATTCCTTGGGCCACATAATGTAGTCACTTTGAAAGAAGTGGTAACCACCCTATGTTCGCCTGAGGATTGTTTTGTATTGTTTGGAAAATAATCACGAAACCTTGTCGAAACACCAAGTGACGCATAAAATGTCGTAATCATCAGGGATTTGATCGTCAGTGAAAGATGTGCCCTCATATTCAGCACTCGCTATTTGAACAAACGTAAAAATGCGCGAAAACCGCTTGCAACTTATGTACACAGAAATACGGGTACATAACTCTCCTATGGGGTGAGTAGGTAATTGTTCACCTTCTCTTAAAGCCTTCAACAAACGGAGATTTGTTCACGTCATCTCAGAAAGAACTCCGCATAGGGCAAATCCGTAAGGGGGAAATCCATAACCTCACTTATCTATTGGATCTTTGATTTTCAACTTGTCCTGGTTTGCCTCATGAAGGTTGGGTAGGTTCGGTTTAGACATGTTTATTGGGGTGACGTCAAATACTTAGCATGTTGTGCATCATTACCAAGTGTCCATTTTCCCGACAGTAACATGTTTTCGAGATCTCTCGTAGCTTAGTTTTTTACCTAGCAGATGTTCACAGTTCATCATCGTTCTCATTAGTAGGCACTGATGAATTAAGATTTTCTGGGGGCGATAATGGATAGGAGGAACTGCAGAGAGCCCCGTCTAGCTCCTCGTAAAGTCGCAGACACGAGCGCCCTCCATTTTGATAACACTCCACTGACTCCAGCGCAGGATACTCTATCCCTTAGATAATTTCTTAACCAAAAGGAGCAGATATATGCGCCTGGATCACTTATTCTTAGACAGCAGAACATTCACAGAAAGAGTAGTAGTAGTGTAACATTGAAAAAATCCCCGAAATAAATAGTTCTGCAGGTCTTTGGCATTGATTCTGACCTCATAGGTTTTACTGGACACAGTCTCATTGAAGGCGCTTGGCCACTCATCCGCACCAGATCACGAGTAGGTACGCCCTGACTTTTGATTTGACTGTGATAAAAGTGTTATTGATAAAAGCATTGTCAAACCCTGAATATCTATAGCATCTTTAACGGATTGGCCAGTTCCATTAGTACTGGTCCAAATAAAGTTTTCCCTGTGTGACTGCAGCAGCCTTTATGGTTCCAACTGTTAGTGACAATGAAAAGGAGTTACTGTTATACAGCTGCTGAAACTCTTGTGGGGTCCGTATGGTGGTTCTGCTCTTGTTTTAGAAATTTTGAGGGTAACGTCCTAGAACCTAACTCAACTGTGCAGGTCACTCGTCGTTGGTTGACCTTTAATCAAAGGTGTTAATTTGATCTCTGACGTTACGCAATGGCTAGTATTTTGCTCCTCATTAAACTTATTGGTATCATAGTGCTAAAGGTTACTAGTAACTTCTTGTATATCGTCATTTCATGCTTCAGGAAAATCTACAATGGATTGAAAGACGGATTACCGTTAAAACGTAACTTAAGTCTCCTTGGCTATTATAAGTTTTCTATTAAGGTACTTATAACAGAAACGAATGGGAACCGGTGAGTTCAGTTAGCAGACTTGGAGTCGTTGTGATTACTAACCATCACATTCAAAGACAAGAACCTCAAGATGAGTATTCAAGTGATGCTATTTCAAGATCTCTAAAAAATCCGTCCTTATTTGAAAGGGTCCTTGGTGAAAATTCGGTCGGTGTTATTGTTTCATGGGTAGCTAACTGCATTCAAAAGAAAGCTCTCGGAATTTCGATCAAGAATACAGATTTAATACTGGTGTACACTAAAACAAGGAATAGTCTATACGATCTCAACAAATGGCTTGACGTCTTGCCTAATCATAACTACTCAAGACCTCACTTTGCAAATAATCATAATAAGGTATTTCAGCTACTCATGATAAATTCTGTTCATATATTTCACTCTCCAACGTAGTGTTTATTTAAATAAAAGAAATCCTGAGCACAAAATTCAGGTAACATCAGTTCACTAAGTCCTCTGTTGAGCCGCATTAAAAACTTCAAAACTCCTAGTTTGTCTTATTAAAAGTTTTCAGCTGATAATTCAGTGTTTTAAAATCATTTGAAGTGTTGAAGTTCGTTTAATGCCAGTCGATACATAGTTTATACGAACCATTGTTTTCTGTACACTTATTGTTACCAACCCATTTATTTGTGATAAAAGAGATTTAAATGTAAAATCTACCCAAGGTATATTTATTCATGTGCAGTTATGGTTATATTAGTCACGAAGAATGAGTGTAGGTTTGCAAGGGTAGAGTTTTCAGTTACGTTTGCTATGGTATGGGCTAAATATAATTTACATAAACCACAAGTTAATAAAAACCAAAAGCAGAGGTCAAACAAAGCTGGCAACTCAGTAGGCACATTTTGTAAGCTGCGTTTCAGAGCAGTCGGAATAAATCCATGGTTAGTAATCCAATGATGACTGAAAAGTTCTAACTACACTCCAAATTAAGACTAGGAACACGTAGTTTAATGCGGGTGGAATCCATTGTGGACTCAACCTCTGGAAAACCATTGATAATCAAGTAGCCCAAGAATGCTGATTCGTATTGGTTTCAGACTAGAACAATCCTTACCGTTCATCGTTACGCGGAATCAAAATCACAACTTCTCGGCTGGGATGATAAGTTACCATTTGATTATTGAAGAGAAAACCGGATGATATCCACGCTGTGGTTCCAGTTTGCTTGTAATGTAGCTCACATTGACGCGTAATGCTTGTACCGTTAGCAAGAATTTGGGAAATATCTTAGTGTAATTTCGGATTTTTAACTATCAAAATCATTGTTCTCACAGTTACTTTTGTCATTTGACAAAACATTATAATGCAAATCGGGTTCTACTTTCCGTACATTTTTGAAGACCTATCAACATATTAAACGTAGTTGTTTCCGTTTGAGGAGTTTTCCTTATTCTATTTAGTCTTATTTATTAGATTATAACTGATACTGCACACTTATAAATAACAATTTGTCTTTTCAAAAAATTCCCTGCTAATCAGGTAATTAGACATCACTTTTTTATCGGTAACATATAAAAAGTATGGTTTCAGTTTTATCGAGATAGAGAATTGAACGAATGTAAATCTGTTTCTTTTTACTACTTTCCGATTTACTTAGAGTGGAAAGTCATTGTGCTCGACTAGTCATTGGCAGGTTATGTTTTAGGTCAGGTTAGCCCCCCCAATGCCCTGGTACGGCCGAGGGTGGGGAGAGTCCTCTCATCTTCTCGAAATGCTCTCATAGTCGCGCGTATACAGCCACTGCCAGGGAAGTCCTAATCACTGCATTCTAGCGGCGAGTGTGTCGTTTACGAAATTGAGAGGACGAAAAGCGAATGTCCGGTGCTTTAACCGGCTCGGTGGACAGGGAGGATCCACCTAGAGGAGTTGGGAAACCGTGGTTCCAAACCAATGGTGAACATGGGCTCTAGTATCCTGAGGGAACAAATGGTGTATGGACCTACTGTTGGTCACCGGCTACCATGGGACTGCATCTCCTGACACTGCTCCACTGTATTGTGGATCAGACCTCTAGGTCAAATACTCCGGGTGTGGCCCCCTAAGAAAACCACCCGCTTCGGTCTGGGCACCCAGGTAGTATTACAGCCCACACACAAATCAAGTGACTTGTGTGGCGCATATGTACTCGGTGCCCTTTTGTACCAATATTTATGTGTTCAAGTAAATAAATAAATAAGTGAAGTTAGCAACGTTTATTTTATTTGTTTGTCATCGTACTGTGTATACATAGATATTTATTAATATTTTCAAAGATTAAAGAATCAGATTCATACAGCTGTATTCTTTCGTCAACTCGGAGTAACTTAAGTCGTAAACATAACTTGGAAGATCCTCGTACTTATTGCTCCTATGGTCAGCTTTACAATCGTCTGTTCTCGTATAGTTTTCGAAGTTTAAGTACTATCAACCATGCTTCCAATCTGAAAAACAAATTACTCTTGAAATTTCAATATATTTCTTCTGAGGTAGGATTTTTTTATATAATTTACTACATTTTACCCCTTTTTGAGCAACCGTTTCTTGTGTTAGGGTAGTTTAATGGTTAGAGTTTTTGACTTAGCCGTTAAGTCTCAGTTTCAAGCCCTACTCCACCTATATCGGCTGGGACAACCGAATAGTATCATTAGCCTTCACAGTGTGGTTCATACCCAAGTACGTGATGTATAAGTTAATAATAATTAGGATTTACTGGAAAATGCGGCTAATATATCGTAACTAGTAGAGGATTTCCTTCGATGCTGTGTATGCTACCACACTTCTGAAGGTAGTATTAAAATTTAGATTTCCATTGCCATATTCTGAATATACCAAGTTACAGGTGTGGTCAGACATACAAATGGAGCCAACATCTTAAAATATAGGGATACATTGCCTGAAAAGAATCAATCTACAAATTTGTTTTTGGTTTATATTGTTTCAAGTTGTCCTGAATTCTCGAAAATTTACTTGCTAAGTAGACCTAGCGAACCTAGAATGAAAAGATTGTACTTTAGGTACTAAGTTGCGACGGTTGTAACAAGGTGATTTCCGAAACTACTGCATTGTTAGACGTCAGAGATAATTTATTTAATATCTTGAAGAAAAATATTAAATTTGGTTTGGGGAACTGTTTCCATACGGTACTAAGCCCTAGTTAAGTGTATCTGGATTTGTAGCCTAGTGTATAATCACCTCAAAGAATAAGAAGTGTAAACGGATATTGGACAGGTCCCAATTTATGTTTATCTTTGATGCAAACACTGCTCAAAATAAAAATGCAGGATTCTGTTTGTGGTCAGACAGATACTTTGTACAATAAAATACTCGAATTGCTGCTATGTAGGTCATAAAGTATACAGCCTAGAAGTCTACATAATTTATGTTTCTGCTTTATAACTTGCTCTGCAAGGACAAATTGTAGAAATATCTGAGTCCTAACTTTACTACCGAATAAAGCCTAGATAGCTCCTGAGTATTTATGGCGAAATCTAAATTGAGATAACCACTGTAGCAAATCTGGACACACTTATCAGTACTAAGTCCCAAATTTCATTTTGAACACCAGTGATGACCTTGTTGAACTCCATTCTGATACAATGTTGTATACAGGTTAGGTGGTGGGCAGAAAGTGAGTACACTACATTCAAATCATCTGCACCCAGTAAACGTTTATCTGTATCGAGCCTTTTACATGTATCAATTATGTAGGATATAATGGTCAAACGTTCTAAAACACTACATGGTATTATGTCAGTTGTAACTGGGATGACCAACCGATGAAGACTAATTTATTTTAACTATTTTGTGTTGATGATTGAGGAAGGAATTCAACTGCTGAACTCAGCGATCTCTAACCTTATATGAATTGAGCTTGTCTGTAAGAGGCTAGCGGTTAACCATGTGGGATGCATTAGATATGTCAAAGTATAGGACTAAAACTAGCTCCCTGGGGCTAAGTTTAGTAAATACTAAGTCGAAGTGACGAATCATACAAGATCTCAGTCTAAGGAATTCATTTTGGAAATTGATAACTGCATCTACTTTGTAGATGCGTTAAATTTTGTTGAATAATCAATTTACTAAACCACTTTCCCAGTCTCTGATTAAGCGGTATTATTTTTGATATTTTATTTGGTAACATTTCCGAATGTTTTCCATAGAATAGTCATACCTCGTAAGCTTTCCGTACTTGTTTGTCTAATTCAGGGTTGTCGGTGAATCAGTCTTAAAATTGAATGGGACTTATTGATCTGTTGATTTTCGCCTTTATACCCTTAGAAAGAAGATTGCTCAGACTTACTTGAAGTTGGTCTACAAACAGCATTAAAAGCTAATCTAGACTACATAATTTTTATTAATCCACGTGCAATGAATTTGAGTGAACATTTACTTACTGAAACTATTCAACTATTGGCCAATAAAAACGAAAATTGTCAGGTAACTTTTGAAATTATAGTGAAAGTTTTCATTTAAACATTAGGTGAAAGGATAAATAGGGCGAAAAAATGTTCTTTTTCAGTTAGATTTGAAAGGTAAAAAAATTTCGCTTGTGTTTAAGTATGTTATAAGATATACTGGTCACCCACGACTAGTTGAGACTTAGTGCCCTTGAAATTTACATTCCTGTTGGGGAAAAAAATTTACTGTCATTTAATTTCAGTATAGTATAGTTCAAACCAGTTAATGAACCTCAGATATATTTCTTCAATGTGAGTGGAAGTTAGAAGACTGGCGAAATTTTTTACTATTATTAGTCATTAATATGAGGATTTTGACTGATAGTTGATGGTGTTTTCAAATGATATGGGGTTCATGTTCTAATATTCATTGTACCAATGGTTATATCAACACTTAAATCTAACTGATTTGTTCCAAATTAAGTCGTACACCATGAATTCTAGTGCTACGTATACTTCGTCCAGTAGAATCACTGATTTGTTCGCAGTAACAGCGGTACCTCTAACAACATTTCCAACCGGGATACGACAACTCCCTCTTTTCCTAACCTCGACTACTTCCAAACACAAATCTTCTAAGAAAGACTTACTTGGTAAAAACCTCAGAGAATTATTTACAACTGAGTTCACTCATTTTAAACCGATTAAATTCAATGATTATTATCAAATTAAATAATTTTCTGTTGAAAGAAAAGTCACAGTATATCAATTAAGATAGTGAAACACTATTGAAAACTAAATGAGAACAAATTCATATTGGACGAATTAATAAAGCATGAAAATAGGCTGAAAATGTTATAACTTGTGGCCTGAGTGTCCCGCTAATGTATAACGTAACGATAACGCTAATTAGAGAGCAGTGAATTATCGATCGGACCAATGAAGCATAAAAACCCGTACGAACAGTCTAGAGTACTTATCGGTCCTACTTCCTACCTAGCCCAACCAGTTAAGTCCAGAACACCAATCTCAACCTCTGCGATATGAATCATTTATTTCAAACATATTGAGTTTATATACCAACCAGATAGACCACATAGTACCATAAAATAAGGAACAATATTTGTGCAGGATTTGGCCAAATGTGGCTGTGAATAAGGGGGATAGTAATTGGTAGACCCCCAAATGCCCCGGTACGGCCGAGGGTGGGGAGAGTCCGCCCTCCCTCTCGAAATGCTCTCACATGGCCACGCGTATATAGCCTCTGCTAGGGAAGTCCTACTCATCGCCTTCTCGTGGCGGGGCTGTTGTTTACGAAAATGAGAGGACGAAAAGCGAATGTCCGGCGCTTTAACCGGATCCCAAACCAATGGTGCACATGGGCTCCAGTATCCTGGAGGAACAAATGGCGTATGAACCAGTCGTTGGTCACCGACCTCCATGGGACCGCATCTCCTTACGATGCTCCACTGCCTTGTGGATTAGACCTTCAGGTTGAAGGCTCGGGGAGTGGCCCCCTAAGAAAACCACTTGCTTCGGTTTGGGCACCCGGACAGTATCACAGCTCTCACACATATCTAATGAGATATGTATGGCGTATATGTATTTGGTGCCTCCTTGTACCAATATCTATGTGTTAAAATAAATAAATAGTTATTTAACAATTATACAATAAAAATGTACGCATAGTATTGGTTCATAAATGGATCCCAGAAGTTACCGTTCATTATGCTTATGGGGGCATAAAAGAAAACCAGTTTAAAGAAATCTACAATGAGCTAATTAATGCTGAATGATGATAAAGAAAAATCATCTTGAATCAGTGTGTTAATTTTAAGATTGATTTTTTTGATAATATCTTATTTTGGGAATTAGCAGTTCCCCAACGAACATGCATACATATTATTATGGACAAACGAACTTCATTAAACATTCAGGGCTATTTATATGGATAGTACATTGAAAAGAATATTTTTTTTCAAATGAATCGAGCTTTTCAATAAAGTGTATAAAAATTTTACGGATAACAAGAAATCAATACGATCATTGATTTTGTAATCTGTTGTTAACATCTAACTTCTGTCATTCTTTATACTTAATGATCACCGATTCATTGTCCGAATAGTCACGTATAGTTTGAGTGCTATCTGTAAGCGCAAGTTTACCAAAGCGCTTGGATTGGGGAAAATCATGTGCAAAAACGATAAACGATACAATAGTTGAAAAATCCAACTTTTAAGAACTTCCATGGATCTTTGGAAGAATGTTAGCAAAGATAAAACAAATGTATTGTCACAATTTAAAATCAGAAGTATTTTCATGTGAATAAGATTGATATACCGTTGTTTCATCAATTTTTACCCTACGTACTATAGTGGTAATACTGACTAGTCAGTTTGACTACGTTAAAGATTGAATAGTTATCTTAAGATTATTGTTATACCTTATTATTGTTGTCTGTATTGAATAAAATCAATTGTAAACTGTTTGCTATCGGAAGTCACATGTTCATTTATTAATTTTATCCTTTGTAAAATCATGTAAAACGGTCACTATCACATGGATGCTTAAAACGGATGTTTTTGAAATATAACGATGTGATTTTTCTGTAATATACTATATTTCAAGTGTTGTTATGTTCACATGGAATGATATTAGTTTACGTCAATTTGTACACAACACAATTCTATCAATCTTGGATTTATTTAGTATGATTATCTATTAAGACTTAATTCATTTCAGAATAGTTTTAATATCAAACTGAATCTACTACACATGTACTTCAGTTCAAGTTACCATACTAAATCAGCACCTCATGATAAAATTATCAATGTAAATGTCAGAGTAATAGAAATAGTAACAGTATTATTGGTTAGTAGAGAAGGCTAAACGTAGACAGCATAATTCGAGGGGAGTAAATCAATCCTTAGGATAAAAACCATAAGATAGTTTTGAAAATTAGGATTCAAGGGAAGATAAATAATAAATGTATCTTCATTACCGTGACCAATTGTTATCTATCTCACCTGTCCCCAACCATTGGGTGTGATAATCGCGTAGACCCCAATCAGTTAGGTCAAATTTATCAACATGGCTCAGTCTAAGAGCCAATGATTTCAGAGATCGATCACACGTCTTACTTTGACGACTTCTAGTTTCCTTCCAACATTGGATACACAGTAAGGTAGTGACGGCTAAATCAAGATTTAACTTTAAGTGATAAAATAAACAACTCTTGTTTTTGTCGTTCAAAATCTCTTAGGCTTATTGTTCACAAATTAAAATGGATATAATTCAAAATAACCTTTAATGACAGACACTTTTACATGGCATATTCTTCCGTAAATCCCTTGCCAACTTTTATTCGACTTATGTTTTCCATATTTTCGTGTATTGTAACCTAATTCACTTCAATATTGCATTTCTACTATCAGTTTTATTATACTGCACGGCGAGACTATAATTTATGGACGAACCAACTAAATATAAGACAACAGGTCTCGAATTTTGACGCAAAATTCACTCGTCTATTTGGCTAAATAGCGTTTTAGCATTATAGCTGATATCAATTCGTGATCTAATTCCTAACCTTGACCATCAACTGTAAATCATAATTCTAATCTTTCACACTGGTTTATACCCTTCATTTGGTCCTAGTTATTAGGTGGACATACTCAAGGTCGGTCTAGCGTCACTCAAAGCTCGTCCATAAATTATAGTCTCACCTTTACACAAATGTTTTTAAAACGATTGTCATATTGGTATAAGATTGTATTGTCTCATAAATTTCGATAAAATATTCTCAGCACACCGAATCAAATAAGAGATTATATATGGTTATAGCCTAAGTATCAAATTTGTTCATATAAATAGTAATGTGAGAAGAATAAAGACATGAAACAAAATCAAAGGATTAAATAACTTAAGCATTGGGTAGAGAGTTAATAGTAAATGTATTTTTGTCATATTCCACTGAGTAGAAAAATTGTTTTGGCTTTTGACAATTTGAACTGATTACTTTGATGGTTTATTTATATTTTGTAGTAGAGCGGTAGCTTAATGGTTAACGAGTTTAACATTCAACCAATAAATCTCAGGCTCGAACCTTGCTCCTCTTACTTCGGTTCGAGCAACCAAGTGTGTCCCATTAGCCCTCACGTTTAGATTGTGTCTTCAAACCAGACACCTGGCAAATGAGTTAATTCTATTTTACGGTAACGAAACTATACAGTTATTCTGCTTTTTTACAGGTTGACTTTGTGCTAGGTATTACTAAACCTTGTTCAAGAAGTTTACGAACTGACACTGATATTAATACATATCGAAGAAAATCATCAAATGGTTTATATCTATTCGGTTTAAAAGGTGAACAACATTATATAATGTCCAATATCAAATCAATTTGTGCTAATTTGGAATGGTCATCTATAAATGCAGCAGATATTCTATATAGAAATATTTATCACTCTTTACCAAATAAAAATTTGGTATGTTTACGTAAAAGATTAGAGGAGGTAAGTAAAATAATTTGTTATTTTCAATGAGATTACTTTGTTCTTCACGTATAACTACGGTTCAATATGTTCACTGATAAAAATTTATACAAATATAAAAGGATTTTCTACTATAAGATCGACTGAGTTGTTGACACTGTTTTTTACTCATTTACCAGTTACAGATTTGTATACTTGTCTTTAAAATACACTCTAAGTGTGACAGAAAGTGACACTACCCAGCTTCCTAAACTGGATCAAACGGAGTGCGGTCCAAATTTGCTACTTAGTGGTGAAAGTTGAAAGCTCTAGTCGCCAACCCACCATTCCGTCTAATTCAGCTTTAACAACTGAAGAATATAAGTAGTTTTCACATTAAAAGTTTGACTCCATGTGGAGTAACCCAACTTATACACACGACCAGTGAGTTGCATTAATATATTTATTTAATCAGAAAATCCAATGATAAACATAATTCACTGGTCTAAAACTTCAAATACAGATGCTATTTATTGACATTAGCTGAAAAAATTGTTGGTAAGCTTCGAGGATTGATTTTTCGTAGTAGCTTTTTTGGGGAGCCGTCTCCTAGGAAGATTATCCATATGTTAGTGAAGTAGTAGTTGCTCATGGATTTGATTATAATTGTTTTCGTTGCATTATACTTCAGGTATTTCAAATAATCCTTTCCCACTATTCCTTAGTATGTATTTGCTTAATAGTTTTATATCGCGTGGCCGAATCCATGTTTTGCTACCAAGAGTTACGTAGTTCTGTTGAATAGGAACACACAGGTTTTCTAAGTTATCAATTTAGGTACTCCATTCCAAGCATCAGGTCGTAAGTGCACTTCACTTATTTTTGTCTCACTATTTGGGTAGTATCATTCCCCTCCAAACAGCAAGTATAAGACCGTAGTAGCCTCACATCTCTCACCTAGAACTTACAACTTATTTGAACAGCTATAAAAGTGGACAGGGATGTAAGAAAATCCAGTGGTTCATTACAGTACCATTGGTTATTTTGATTTGAACTATGAAAACTGTATATTCTGTACTAATCTTCTTTACTAATAATAATCATATGCTCACTAGTGACTGGCTTCAAGATGTAACTCCTGGAGTTCTAGTGCGAAGCTGTAACCAATGGAGTTCAATCCGTCATGGATGTGAAATAGTTATCCACCATAGGCAATAGATAAAGGTTGCGCAATATCGTAAACTGATTGAAATTAGATATCAACACCTCGGGACTTTGACTCCGTGGTTAAACGTTCAGAAGCAAGACAGACGGTCTTGGGTTCGATCTTTCATAGTGAGGTCGTAGATGCCTACTGATAAGAAGTCTTATACTAAGATGAAGCTACCATCCAGTGCTTCTAGATTTTTGATGGTGGACCAACTGAGATGGATTCTAGGTCTAGACTCAAAATTCTACAACTTCCACCAATCCCCTTTGCTAAATATATTCTTTGATAGTCTTAATTTTGATTGTTACCCTTAAGAAGATGAGATAAGATTGCTGACCCAAACGTTGGGATGAATTAAATTTTATTAGCTGAAAATATTTAAAAAGTAATTTCTAATATGTAATATGTGATCTGTTTGTAGCTACCTGATATATAATAAACTGCTATATGTTGCTCAAATTATTCCGCCTTATTACTGGTTATCATCGGTGTTGTTGTGTTGTTTTTAAGGTGTCTGAACCACTGGATCTTATCAATGTACAACAGTCTACTGGATTATTGTGTGAGGACGTACTTAACGATTCAGTAACTGTGATTATTCCCATGGGTTATGGCCATCCAGATGATTGTATTGATTCTGAAGACATTGAATTAGTCGATGTGAAATTTTCAAGATCATTAGCTTATACAATTGAACTAGCAGTACATAATGCTTCGGGTAAAAGACAAATAGAGGTTAGAAGTACTTTTTGTCACACTATTATTCTTTTAATCTCATATACTTTACAGCCTCCAAATGCCCTGGTACGGCCGAGGATGGGGAGATCTCGCTCTCTCGAAATGCCCTTACATGGCCTCGGATATACAGCTACTGTCAGGGAAGTCCTCGTGGCGAGGGTGTTGGCTACGAAATTGAGAGTACGAGAAGTGAATGTTTGGCGCTTTAACCGAGTCGGTGGATATGGATGATCCACCTAGAGGAGTTGGGAAACCGTGGTTCCAAACCAATGGTGAACATGGGCTCTAGTATCCTGAGGGAACAAATGGTGTATGAACCTACTGTTGGTCACTGGCTACCATGGGACTGCATCTCCTGACGTCGCTCCACTGCCTTGTGGATTAGACCTTTAGGTCAAAGGGTTGGGGAGTGACCCCATAAGAAAATCACCTGCTTCGGTCTGGGCACCCGGGAAGTATCTCAGTCCTCACACAAATCGGACGATTTATGTGGCGCATATCTATTTGGTGCCTCCTTGTACCAAAGTTAATGTGTTTAAATAAATAAATAAAATAAATTGCTCACCCACCTGTCAATGTGTGATGCAATGTGAATAGAATACGCACATTCGAAATACTCAGTGAACGCTATAATTTTTGTAACATTAAAACTCATAAAGGTCTGGAACTAGACTTTTATATTCAGAAAAGATTCAATGAGTTAATCTGCAATTATACCTGAACTGGGCCTTCTTAGAATTTTTATCACACCATACATTTTAGATGTTCTCCAAATATTCCAAAACTATCGCTTTAGTTATTCCATTTTTGTATTGGTTGATTGAATCTCCCCGTTGATGGTTAGAACTGCAATTGACTAGTCTCTTATTGCTGTATGTGCATCCTGTGCGGATTGCCTCGATATTGCCTTCAGTCACAAGTATAATGAGTAGAGATGATGGGGCTAGCAATGGAACAGTACTGGGTTCGAGTCCCGGGATGAACATTAACTATGAGACGCAGGCACATCCAGCTGATGAGTTCCGAATAGGACGAAACGCTCATCCTGGACTGTTTGGGCTAGGCGCGAAGTTGTTGTACAAAGGAGTTGAATCAAGGCTGCTAGTGCTGGCTGACTTGTTATCGGCTTGTCACGGGGACAAGGTCATAGAAGTCGATAATCTGATTGGCGATTTTGTCACGTGATATTTTATGGGCCACAGAGCTTAACAGGTTCGTTCACAATCTTCATTCAATATTCTATTGAAGGATGAGATTTCAGGGGAAATTTATAGAAAAAATTAGTGTCAGTAATAAAGTGTTTTTCTGAAGTCTGATTAAATTTAGAACATAACATCATATCTTAACAAATCAATCAAAAAGTGTGTCAATACTACTTTGATATCATTTTCAGTTGGATTTTTGAATTCAAGTGTACTTAAGGAAGTAAGTATATTAGGTTGAAGAATAAGAAAGGTTTCTTACAAGGTTTTCTAAACATCTTCCTTGGAATCTATACTTGAAAAGAAACAGTATCTTCCTTATATATGAACATCGAACAATTGATGTATAATGGATATAAAGTGAATATTTCAGTAGCCATTAAAATAAGTAAGAATGGCAAATAACAAACATCATCTTTACTTCATTTTTACAAAAGACCATGACTTACCAAATTTTTTAGAATCGATTTGTACATAGAGAAGAAAAAAAGATGTGAAAAAAACTCTGACTTGATAAAGATGATCGTATAGGTCTCTTCAGAAATGCACATCCACGATTCCGTTTGCGGGGCTAAAATCCCGGACCTTCTGTCTTCCTCACAAATGCCGTTGAATGCCAACTCAGTGATCTAGAGGTTAAGCGTATCCTGGGTTCTAGTCGCGCGTGCGGGACCGTGAGTGCGCACTGCTGAGGAGTCCTGTACTGGGACAAAACGACTGTCGATTATTTCCAGGTTTTCAGTGGTGATGTCGTTTAGATTGACTCGTGAATCCGAATTTGAAGATACTACAATCTCCATAAATCCCCAAAATTGATAAATTTCGATAATGCAATGAAAAGACGAAGTTTATCAGAATTATGTGATATATTTGCGCAATACATTTCGAACAATCTGATCACACATATACTTGTTAAGAACATTTATATATGAAAATGGATGCGTACTGCTGAGGAGTCCCATACTAGAACGAAACGACCGTCCAGTGCTTCCAGGTTTTCCATGGTGGCCTAGCTTCAACTGACTCATGATTTCAATCTGTGAAATTAAAAGGTTAACTAGACAGGTTAAGGTTTAGTCATAACAGAGGAAAAATATTAAAGTACACAAAAACAAATGTGATCACCACTCTGGATAATAAATCAGTATTACCAGGGTAGGTTAAGTGTAAGGACAAATTGTTTTTGAACACATAAAGGGGGTTTCAATTTCCGTATAGTCAAGGCTTCAATAAACCTTAGTATACGTCCTTGAAGGCTTTTGTATAACACTGCAAATGCTGATTTGACGTCAACCTTATGACCCGCCTCAATCAAATGTTTCGCAATGGAGGATGATGTCTATCTATCCTGTGATCTTATTTGACCATTGGAATCCATTTGTTTCTGCAACCATTTTGGTATGTGTTCACCCACCCTTAATTGCAAATCACGATTGCTCCTCCCTATGTACGTGTTTCCACACATACATGTAAATTGATAGACACAACGGGATGTTACACAATCGCTTTCGTGCTGTTTGGGCTTTTGGTGAAACATAGACATTGTCTTTTCGATAATGACAAGTTGGGCTGCATAAAATGTCCGGTTGATAGCTAATTTAAGTCTCTGTTTCAACATGAGATTATTTGTGTCACCTCTGAATGGTAGCGTAATATAAACTCGCTTTTTGGGTGCCAGAAGCATCATAGGTCTAGTCATATTGCAACCCTTCCAGCGGTTTATGAACTTCAAAGGGTAACCATTATTGAATAACGCATCAGTCCAGAGCTTCATCTCTACTTCAATAGTATCACTAGTACAAATACAATTGATTCTATTGAATAAGCTCTTTATTAAACCACGTTTATAATGAATAGGGCAGTGACTATGAAAATTAAGATATTGTCCTGTCCATGTTGGTTTTCTATATGTAGCACGTTTGATGGAACCATCATCTCTCCTACTAATCAGGATGTCTAGAAAAGGAAGTTGGTTATTCTTCTCTTCTTCACATGTAAGAGAAATGTGGTTTTGACTACTATTGAATTCTTCTAACAAGTGGCTTATGTCTTCAATTTTATCACCTATGATTATTATGTCGTCTACATATCGTTTATACAGACCCATCTTTCGAATTGAGTCTTCAACTAAATTTTCCACATATCCCATGAGCACATCAGCCAGCAATGGTCCTAGAGGGCTACCCGTAGCTACACCATTTATTTGTCGGAAGTGCTCACCTTCAAAAATGAATTTCACATTATCTGTACACAATAATAGTAAATATTTAAGAGTTTTAACAGGAAAAGGTAGTGGAAGGTTTTCCGAAGAAATAAAGTCACACAAAATATCAATGGTTTTCCTGAGAGGTACATTTGTAAATAAAGTGTTTACATCAAAGGAGCACATGGTTTTTGTCTTTATATTTATATCCTTTAAGTAATTAATTAATTCAAATGAGTCAGTCAATGAATACTTACAATATTGATTTCGGATAGGGTTTAATACTTTTATAAAAGCATCAGTTTCATTCTTTCGGATGAAAGCAGAGAAGCATATTAACTTCTCAGCACTTCAAATCATTAAAAGAATTGCGAAATAATCCCGATATTATTATACTTAAACCCGATAAAGGATCTGGTGTTGTTATTATTAATAGGTCCGATTACAAAAATAAAATGGAATCCATTCTCAGTGATAAAAGCAAATTTTTGGCTGATGTTGACTTCCATGGATTACGTAAATTAGCGAAGAAAGTAAACTCGAAACTTGTGAAATTGTTAAACATGAATGCGATTAACAAGGATGAGTTTAATTTATTAAAACCTATGGGTTCGACATATCCTGATTCATATGGATTACCGAAAATTCATAAGCCTAATACCCCCCTACATCCGATTCTATCAATGTGTCGGTCGCCGACACACAACCTTGCAAAATGGCCTACAAAAGTATTAAACCCTATCCGAAATCAATATTGTAAGTATTCATTGACTGACTCATTTGAATTAATTAATTACTTAAAGGATATAAATATAAAGACAAAAACCATGTGCTCCTTTGATGTAAACACTTTATTTACAAATGTACCTCTCAGGAAAACCATTGATATTTTGTGTGACTTTATTTCTTCGGAAAACCTTCCACTACCTTTTCCTGTTAAAACTCTTAAATATTTACTATTATTGTGTACAGATAATGTGAAATTCATTTTTGAAGGTGAGCACTTCCGACAAATAAATGGTGTAGCTGCGGGTAGCCCTCTAGGACCATTGCTGGCTGATGTGTTCATGGGATATGTGGAAAATTTAGTTGAAGACTCAATTCGAAAGATGGGTCTGTATAAACGATATGTAGACGACATAATAATCATAGGTGATAAAATTGAAGACATAAGCCACTTGTTAGAAGAATTCAATAGTAGTCAAAACCACATTTCTCTTACATATGAAGAAGAGAAGAATAACCAACTTCCTTTTCTAGACATCCTGATTAGTAGGAGAGATGATGGTTCCATCAAACGTGCTACATATAGAAAACCAACATGGACAGGACAATATCTTAATTTTCATAGTCACTGCCCTATTCATTATAAACGTGGTTTAATAAAGAGCTTATTCAATAGAATCAATTGTATTTGTACTAGTGATACTATTGAAGTAGAGATGAAGCTCTGGACTGATGCGTTATTCAATAATGGTTACCCTTTGAAGTTCATAAACCGCTGGAAGGGTTGCAATATGACTAGACCTATGATGCTTCTGGCACCCAAAAAGCGAGTTTATATTACGCTACCATTCAGAGGTGACACAAATAATCTCATGTTGAAACAGAGACTTAAATTAGCTATCAACCGGACATTTTATGCAGCCCAACTTGTCATTATCGAAAAGACAATGTCTATGTTTCACCAAAAGCCCAAACAGCACGAAAGCGATTGTGTAACATCCCGTTGTGTCTATCAATTTACATGTATGTGTGGAAACACGTACATAGGGAGGAGCAATCGTGATTTGCAATTAAGGGTGGGTGAACACATACCAAAATGGTTGCAGAAACAAATGGATTCCAATGGTCAAATAAGATCACAGGATAGACAGACATCATCCTCCATTGCGAAACATTTGATTGAGACGGGTCATAAGGTTGACATCAAATCAGTATTTGTAGTGTTATACAAAAGCCTTCAAGGACGTATACTAAGGTTTATTGAAGCCTTGGCTATACGGAAATCGAAACCCCCTTTATGTGTTCAAAAACAATTTGTCCTTACACTTAACCTACCCTGGTAATACTGATTTATTATCCAGAGTGGTAATCACATTTGTTTTTGTGTACTTTAATATTTTTCCTCTGTTATGACTAAACCTTAACCTGTCTAGTTAACCTTTTAATTTCACAGATTGAAATCATGAGTCAGTTGAAGCTAGGCCACCATGGAAAACCTGGAAGCACTGGACGGTCGTTTCGTTCTAGTATGGGACTCCTCAGCAGTACGCATCCATTTTCATATATAAATGTTCTTAACAAGTATATGTGTGATCAGATTGTTCGAAATGTATTGCGCAAATATATCACATAATTCTGATAAACTTCGTCTTTTCATTGCATTATCGAAATTTATCAATTTTGTTGATTATTTGTTGTTGAATTGATAAAGATTTTTGTAACTGTGGTAGTTTCACCTATTGTATGTTTCTTAATTGTACTCACTCACCAATATTTACTCATTATTTAGCTAATTTTCATTCTAATTATGTCTTTTGTTTATGTATACCTTTTATATTTGTATTTTGATCTGCATTATTAATTATTGTTATTTATTTTTTATTAGTTTATTCAATATTATATTTTTGGTACAATATAGAATTCTCAGCACAAAGTACTTCAGCGAGTTTCCGTTTCTTGTTTCTTCATCGATATTAAAGATAAATATTGAGTGGTCGCCAGTTAGATGTTAGCAGTTCAGGAATCCACATCTGAATAATGTTCATTCTTTCCAATCAATATTGCCAGCCATCACTATATTTGTGATTGTACATATTTGTAACTTGTAATGAGAAAGGTCGTAAACTTTTCACAAACACATCTGAATAGGTTATGCAAATAATTGGTATAATGATGTGTTAAAAGAAACCTGGAAATAGATGAGTTGTTGAAATTTGTAGATGGTAGAAACAGGTAGTCTAAATATTCAAGCTGGCCGATATAACTTGCCCTACTTTATACAATTAGATTTTCAGTATTAATCTCAACTAATATGCTTCATACTATAATATTTTGTATCTGTATTCACTTATTATTATCATGCTTTGTCCTGTTTCAAATATCCATATCAGTTTCATTAACTGAAGTATTTCGAACCGTTTTTAATAATAATATCAATGATATCACGAAATAAGTTAGATATCTAACGAAAACTAGGAATCTAAATAAAGCGCTAAACTGATAATTATAATGTGAATAATTTCAATAGGTAATTCGGGAATTACAGTGAGGAGCTATAACTAGTGGAGTTCAGTGTTGCCTCATGTGAGGAAGGTACATATGGAAGACAATTGAGGATATTTGCACAGTATTGTAAATTAATTGAAGTTATAAACATAAATACCATTCGATTCTGATTCATTGGTCTAGAGGTCTGGCGTTCGTGTGCAAGACTGAAGGTCTTGTGATTTTATCCTCTTTGTTAGGGACGTTGATGCACACTGCTAAAGAGTCCCATACTAAAACGAAACAACTGTCCAGTACTTCCTGATTTCCATTGGATGGCTAACTTAGGCCGGTCCATAATATTAATAACATTCAGTAATCTCCAAAATCTATACTCTTAATAATTTTATTCTTCATAACTTGAGGGCTATTTTTACAGTTGACAATATGTAAATTTGAAATGGGATAATTCAAAGTTATTCACAATTTTACAAATCTTGTTGTCAGTTATAGAGATTGTTGAGTTTTGATTGAGATCATGAATAAATCAATATTAGACTACTATTTCAAACCTGGAAGCACTAGATGGCTGTTTCATTCTAGTATGGGACTCCTCAGCAGTGCGCATTCACGATCCCGTACATGGGATTCGAACCTTATTATCCTTGCTCTGTTCCCCAACATTTTATTATTATTGTTTTCAGGATTTGTATTCTTTTTTTCTTTTATTATTTTTGTCTGTGTATATTGATCATAAGTGTATGTTTATTTGAATTTTAGATTATAATTATAGACAGTTCACCATCGAAATATCCTCAAACTGGTAAATTGTTAAATTCTTCTACTGCTCATCCAATCACAACAGAGTATTTGCATGATATTGTACATCCTCGTTGTATGGTCAATGTTGAATTATATCATTATGATCCATCGGTCACGAGCATATTGACACCGAGTCGGGGTGAACTTATTCGCTATGCTATAGATCAATATGCTAATGGCTCAATGTTAGTTATTTTGGAACCAGGTAGTGACTTTTATCATTGGTATTTCAGCTTTATTTCTCTCTCATTATTGTGGGATTGTACATCATACATAATTATTATTTTCATCATGAATTGACACTTGATGGAAAGAAGTCACTCAGTTAGCAGAAGGAATGAGACTAGACAGTAATGCTTTCGTGCCTAGCTTGATATTCCTCAACCGATTTGAAATTACGAGCTACAAATGTGGTAGAACTGTCCAAACATTAAAATTTCTCTGAGCACAATATTAATAAGTATTATCATAGTTTAGATCCAATAGTGCACGTTTTTTTTACTTCTTTTAACTACCGGTGTTGTACGGTCATCATCATTCGATGTTGTCGAGGAGTTACTGTTTGAGAGAAGTTGAGAGTAGTTAAGAAAACTTACTGTTTGTATGTCTTCGGTTTTGAAACGAGTTCAACTTTTGACTCTTTCCCCTCCACATTCTTACATGTCATTCATTCAGTTGTAAGAAAAACAGGACCTGGCCGTTCTGTACATCCATTCAAGTTGCCACACTATATATGTATATATCAGAACGGGGAGATGAAATTATTAAGAAGAAGGCTAGAGTAGTTGAAGTAATAATATCAATAATAGTGATTCAAACAGTTCCTTGACCGAATTGTAACAGTTGGATCAAGTTTCAAACCTTCGACTTGTTTATTGAAAGCCATATGGTTTATTCACCAAGTCATCGCGATCTTTATCTATTGTTCATTAATTATTATATGCATCGTGACATTCTTAATACAGTGATTAATCCAACTAATCTTTTATCCTTTTGTGTATTTAAATTTTCAGGTGTTCAGTTACCAGTTAATTGGGATTCCGCAGTGTATTATACATTACAGAGACCAGGTGTTGGAATGGGTTGTTTTGCCTATCGACTACACTTAGATGATAAATATATTCATCAGAAGAGTGTTTTATTGGCATTAAGTTGTTGGCTTGGAAGTTGGATTGTAAATGTACAAACAAATTGGTATGTATATATAGATCTTTATTATTGTTTTTTGAATATCGTTTTTTTCTTTTTTGCGTAGGAATTTTTATTAATGACAATTTTTCCCCTGTTATTTAATGTTAAATAGTTAATGATTTTAAAAAAATCAAGCGCATAAGGTTAGTGTATGAACGTTTTGTCGATTGATCTGATTTATATCATCGGTAGGTACTGACTACTTGGTTGTTGGGATCCGTACGATAGTCATGATTAGTGATTTGGAATGTTATGTGATCTCAATGGCGAAAGAAACATTGTTTGTACTTACCTGTATGGTGTTTAGAGGTAGTTTACAGAAAACTCCGAACAAAAATCTCGTGCTGTTTGATACTACTCGTCACCTTGAAAATTCTCAATCTGATGTTGTTATCTATCTTCTTTAGTTCAATAATTAATATATGATTTATATTATTTTATGGAATCTCTTGTTTCTCGTTTCGGTCTTTTTATAGGTCTGGAGTACCAATAGCTGGACAACCTCATTTTATCTATTCACATTATTTAAAATGTATCAATGGTTATCCACGTTCATGTCGAGCATTTCATGCTATTGATCTGGCGTTAAAATCACATCAATATTTGGGTGATGTAATTCGTACACGTAGTAGAACAGCTGCGGCTGGTGTTCCAACTGATTATGCATTAAGACATGGTGTTTATTATACTGTATTATATACAGGATTGCTAGGGATTGCACGTTATTTAGGCGCTACAGAAGTTCAATTGAAATGGGCATTAGAAAAATTTCCTTCATTATCCAATGTAGAAATTATGCGAAAATAAATGTTCATATTAGATATGATGATGGAATGACTTTCTGTCTGACATATTTCACGCCTAATGTATAGTTTTCGTATTGAAATACTTGTAATATCGTTTTTTTGTATCGGTTAGTCAGATTGGAATGAGCTATCAAAATATCTTTAAGCTCTCAATAATTTGAGTTTCTTTCACAATTTTTTCCTTTCCTCATGTATTCTTTTTCTGCTCTTGAAAAGATTTAATTGTTTTTTTCTGAAAAGGAAGTATTTTTACTGTGTATAGAGAAAAATATAGTTTTTGATACTTGAACTGTATTTTTCTTCTTGAAATGATGAAGATTTGCAGCTTAAGTGTATACTTTTGGTATTATGTAGTTCTCTCAGGTGGATGGTTTTATCACTGAGCTTTCATTGTCATTCTGGACATGATCATCTGGGTTTACCTGATGTGGAAGTGAGCTTAGTCATTTCACGAGTTTCAAAATCAGTTTGTTCTGGTGATCTTGTTTAGGATTCTGGATAAGTGTAAGTTTCATTATCTTCGTTTGTCCCTGTATTCAAGTTGTCTGTCCCGCCCCACTGACCGTTTTCAAGTAGATTAGTTGATCGGGTTTGGTTCGACAGGTTTATTGATTACTGATTGATCTGTTCGTTACGCATCCAGAAATTCTCTGATATATAATTTTGACATTTTCCCTATGTCTTCCGTAAATATAACTACCTCATTGATTTCGTTAAAGTGTCCGATTAATCGACTCATCTTCGTCAAATAAACCTCGGGAACCACGAAATGAATAATTAAGCCATACGGGAAAAAAATCCCAGAAATCATCATGGGGATTGGTAAGACCCTTTGTAATCAATGTAGCCCATAAATCGACACCATCACTCCCATTTTATTCAAACCAGAGAGGATCGTGGCTTTTACTATTGATGTTATTGTTCCTTTTTAATGACAATAAAAATATCTAGGTAACGGTTGTTTGCATGCGTCATGCAGCTTGTGTCTCAGCTTTCAAGCATCTATTCTCCAGATTGAACCGCACCCTGCTTACTTTGATTACGACTTAGTACATAAACCTGTGGCTAGAAAATGAGTGGCGCTACGTGTTATTTCCTTGTATTCATTGATCTTTCACAATGAACACTAACAAACTTTGTTTGTATTTTTATCATTCCATTGATGTTAAGAACTGCAAATTATCAATCACTTTTAGCAAATATACATCCTGAAAAGACTGCCTCGATATCACCAAATATTCTTAAACATTTTAAAGTTGGATGGTGATTATCAGTAGGATTTAGGTCGTCCGTTCCGTCCTATTTGAGACTCATCACTTAGAGGCACCCGCTTCCCAGTTTTGTGTTCACACTGGAACTCCACACCACTACGTTTTGCTTCAAACAGGATAAAACGTGTGTCCTAAATTCCGAATTTACTGAATTAACCAAAACTGTTCATATTTAAATAGGTCACTACTATTGAAATGGCGAGGCTCTCTGTTTAGTGTTCAGTTGTGGTGAGTTCATCATTTAACATTATGGCAAGAATGTTTTAACACCGTGGTTGGTTATTTTTGAATTCTGTGGTTACTGAGATGTTTTGATACTATGTTAAATGTTACCAAATTGATACCAACCTATTTTTCATAAGGATGTCAAATAACCTAACTATCCAGCTCAAAGAATAAAACTCCCGAGCTACAAATCATCATCCTAACTTACTATATATTTTCCCACCTTAAATTCATATATATCAGCGAATAGTGCCTTCATAGAACTTGCATTCATAACACTACCTATTCATATTGAATAATTTATTTTGGAAGACGAAACACAGTTTTCCTCCCACATATCAAAATGAAATGATTTGAAAATGATAATCAAATTTTGCTTATATTGATGTAGTCACAATTGAAATAATCATTTTTATGTCCAGAGCAGATGTATGTAGACTGTGACTGGCATTTCACATGTTCCATGCAATATCATTTAGAAATATCTATATACGTTTTGCAATGAAGTGACATAAAATTATTTTCGAGAAACATGACGTAAAAATTTTCATTAAATATGCTTTGCAGTAGATAACGTTGATTTTTATTTGGTAGGTAATGTTTCTGTTTAGTCATTTTTTCCAATGTCCCTGATCAGTGTTGGACTAATACTTATGAGTGATGTATATAGTGACTAATTTTGTAAATTAAATTCTATACTACATAGATTGCACTATAAAGCATCTTAATACAAAGAGATTCCATATTGTATGAACAGGATTCATTCTCCAACTTTAATTTTATCGTGGTTATTAATGTCAACTGAAATTTTAGACAGGTGAAATTGAGAAATGGTCTCGAGAACATGAAAGGAAAGAGTGTTGCTTATGCAACATAACAAGGTGTTTAGAAGTTTTAATGTCACGCAGCTTATGAAAATAATCATTTTCAGGAATAGATATGTCAACGGAGTTGCAGGATTTGAAGCATTGGTATTTTATTTGTTCTCTTTGTAATCCGACACTTCGGCAGACATCCATCCGTTTTGTTTTGATTTGGTCTTATTGAGTGCCCTATCTGGTGTTACCTATATTGTGGTTGGTACGGATTTTGACGGGGTATCAAATAGAAGTATGAACGTTGTTTTTTATTGACAGTATTCCTAGATTTGTTGTTCAATTATATTGTCGAAGTCATAATCTTCCTGTGGAAATTATTGAAGCTATTGTTTGATGTCTACATATTTTCATCCTGATTAATTGTTTCGTTCAGTTTTCGAGTTTCGCCAGTCGGTGGAAGATGTATTCCCAATAATTGGTCGAAAGCCTACTAACTGCAACAAATGTATCAGAATGGTGGAGATTTTCAGCTGATTCAGATTTAATTCATGTTGTAATCTCTTCTTCGTGGTTGAATCGATGAGCCACTTCATGTAGTACTTCATGAGTTAGGCACTGATGGTATTCACCAGACAGACAACAAAAAATCCCACTGTTAAATCATCTAGGTCATGGAACACATCATGGAAAAATTGTTTACCGGAAATTACTGGTATGCTGAAATTAAAATTAAGTAGTAAAATTAGTTACATAAAATATAAGCCTTACATTTGGGGATAAGCTGAAATCAGACTGCTTCGTACATGAAACAAGTAAATTTCTAAAGAGATCATGCTAGATAGGTTGTTTTATTATCGCAGTAAGTTTCTGTTACGAATCACGAAAAGGATGAAAATGTTTATGTGTTGTGAATAGTGAAACGATAATTTATTCATCCTTTTACTTGCTAATTGACCAATATTTCATCAGATCAACAACCTATATCTCTATATTGATTGATCACTGCGTATCGCTTGGTACATAGAGTTAGTTAAGTTGTATCGACTAAGTTGGTGTGTGTTCATTAATCTACGAGACTCGACGTGTCCTGGAGTATATTTATGTGCTCATCTGGTTTAGGGGAATCAGGAACTTACAAACTAACTTGTAAAGGAAGCAACTCGACACAACTCTAGACTAAATTTGTTATGAAATGGCTGAAAGATATCAAGGTGAATCACTCTTTTTAATCATCTATAAGGCATGGTTTCAAACTCAATATTTTTATCGTCTGAAGATGCGAATACATTCAGTTTGATAATAATAACCTCAAGTAATGTAGCTTACGTACTTGACCTTGAGCCTAACTATTTGCGTAAATACTAGGGAATCACCATTCAATGAGGTAGTTGTGACGTGCACCACTTATATACAAACACCACCCACGTCGACGCGCGATGCTGGTGAATGTAGGAGTAAGCTGCAAGAAAAATAGTGGGATAGGACAAAGCCAAATCTAGATATGGCGTCAGTTTGTAAGTTTGTTGACTGTCGGACTGAGCCATATTGGTAGATCTATACTATTTGGTTGAGGTTCAAGAGATTTTCGTAACTATTTGAAACCTTAATCTGATAAAATTGACTGTTGGGAATATAAAATCATCACTTCAATATTTTATTTTATAACTATGTCCAATTTACATAAGGGTGTGTAAAGACGGGTTTTTTATTATTGAAATCTGAAAAGCTGAATCTCTAATGAACTCAGTTTAAAAGCAATGGCTTAACGATTAGGCATTGTCAAATTGTTTTGAGTATATTAACAATTTTCACTGATGAAAATGAGTTTGTATGTTTGCACATTTCATTTTTATTATTAAAGATTTCAGTTGAACCTATTTTCAAAAGCTTCATCATTTGTGTCATAGTTAAGTATTATTATGTGTGTGTGTGTGAATAGTTTAGTATTGTTTTAATAATTCACTTCAAGAATAAATTCACGATGAAGTGACAATCATCAGAGATTAAAATCTATGGATACATTTAGAAATATTTCTCAGTTTTAAAATAGTTGAGGCTCCAATGATGACTTTCTTATAGTTATTGATGCTTGAGTTTGTGCCACTTATAACAGAATCGGAAAAACTTCAAGTTTTCTTCGTCCTAATACATCTTATGGGCAATTTTTTAACTACTTCAAAACGTCAGTCATATTGCCAATGATTTGATTCATGTATACAGAGAGAGCTTACAATTGTTCTACATTACTCAACTGTACGATTAATCTAACCTATTGTTATATTTATGGTTATCTAAAAGAGACACTTTTTATGAGAATTAACAAAATATCATTCTAAATAAATCGATTGAGGAAAACGATATTCGCTAGATAATTCCTTTCACAATTGATTGATCACTGGGTGGTGGTCAATATCATGTGTATCAAGTCTTTCTTAGTGCAGATCGAACGCTATCGACCAAGTTGCAGTGTGGCCACTAGTCTAAGTGACTCGAAATTGCGTGCACTATGTTGAGATAAGATGGTGGTGGTAACGTCTCTGACTGTGAAGCTGGGTGACACGGGATCGAATCCGTCAGGCAGCACCAGTTCCCTCAAGACCGCAGGTACACCTTGCTGACGATTGCCAAGTAGCAGGAAACCTGCGTCCAGGGTTTCCTGTTGACTACCTCCAACCACCATCTTATAATTCCTTTCCGTCTATAGATTGTGATTTGAACTAATGTTTGCAAAGTAGGAGAATAAATTCTAGTACACAAATTTTTTTCTTATCCTTACTTAAGCTAAGATGTATATTATCTATGCCTGGCTACCGTCTAACTCGATATACTGTAGCGGTTAGGATTGGGAATAATCAGAATAAGACTAGGAAATCACCAACTATTTGTTTAAGCTGTTTGAAATATAGCACACTTTCTAGTTTGGGTCATGAGATAACCATAATCATAACCATATATATATTAGTCGTAAGTTTCTC